ATCAAATCTCAAAAAGAAAAGAAAAGATGGATTTCAAGCTTCAAATTGTGATTTTAATTTTTTTTAATGTAAAACTTAACCCATGAGTTGATGATTAAGGTAATGATTTTTAGCAGTAAAAAACACAGCACATGGGCATGCATTGACTGCTTGCAATTGTCCTAATCTTATTTATGACTTTATGAACTCAAACTTCACATGCTTGTCTCACACCAATATTGTTAATTCTTGATTCATTCTTGAAACTTGAGTTGTTTAGAATTGAACAAGGTATAACATTTTATCTTCTTTTATTATTTGGAAATGTTTATTTTCTGATTCATGTAGTCGATCCTAACTTGCTTGAGATTCGGATATAGTAGTTGTAACAAAATTGTTCTGTTTGTCCTTAATTATTGGAGTCTTTTTGAATCATAGTGAGTAGTCATTTTGATTTCTTGTCTTAGATTATTGTTGTGTTTTGATGAATGAACAGATGGATGAGTTAGGTCCTACATTAGAAGTATCAGTTTCATTTGGAAAGTATGAGAATGATGCACTTTCTTGGGAAAAATGGTCATCTTTTTCCCCAAACAAGTATCTTGAAGAAGCTGACAAGTGTAAAACATCTGGATCAGTAGCTCAGAAGAAGGCCTATTTTGAAGCACACTACAAGAAGATTGCTACTCAGAAAATGGAGCAGGAAAAAATGGAACAAGTTGAATCTTTAGACGAACCCATATCCAAGATCGTAGTGAAAGCACTCATGTTTTCGATACTGATAGATGTGCTACACAAGGTGAAGAGGAAATGACAAGAGCTGATGTGAATAATAGTGATTCTGTTGATATGGAGGTGCATAGCTTGTTGGTTCTCAAAGATAAGGAAGGGGAAATCTTGGACCATGGAGAAGTTCCCAATGTTGAACAACACAAGAGTTGTGAAATAGGATCTCAAGATAATCTCAAAGAGATTTCACAAGTGGATAATGAAGCAAAAAGCTCCTCTGCAAAGAAAAGTAAAACCCCTAAATCAAATCTGAAGAATACAGCTCGAAAGGTGAATTTTTGATGCTTTTCTGTTTATTGGTGTTAAAAAATTATTTGTTGATCGAGATGAGGGTTTGGAGGTTGTGAATTAGGGGAGAAGGTTAGTTGGTAGTTGAGTGTTCTCTCACTTTCATGCGGGATAGGATTGGTGGTAGTACTTGGACCTTCTTTCTTACTAGTGATATTAGCACTTTTCTTGTAGTTTCTTGTTCATCGATTCCGGATTATTACCTGTGTCTTTTTTGTGCTTCGGTTATCCCATTATTTTGTTGTCACTACTGTTATTTCCTCTGTGCTTCGGTTGAGATCCTTCTATTTATTTTCTTTGGTATTCTCTCTGTTCAGGTTGCCTTTCCTGTTATCAATTGTTTGTTGTTCTTGTTCAGGTACATCCAACTACAGAGGACAGAATATCAGCTGGAACAAAGAAGAAGCTTGCATCACCTGTGACAAAATCTTCAAAAATTTCCACTCTGACGTCAAAACCGACACCAGCTTCCAAGGTCATTTCCTCATCTCAAACATCAGTGAAGAAGGTGAATGGGGTGTCATATCAAAGAAGCAGCAATGCTCCTATTGCACAAGGCAATAGATTACTTTCTAGATCACTCATTTCACCTTCTCAATCCTCGATAAAAAAGTTGAATGGTTCAACATTGCAAAGGAGCAAAAATTCTTCCACACTAGAGAACAAGAGGATAGCTCCCACATCATTGCACATGTCTCTCAGTCTAGGTCCACCAAATTCTACAGCTTCTACTAATACAATGAGAAAATCTTTGATCATGGAGAGAATGGGGGATAAGGACATTGTCAAGCGAGCGTTTAAGGCATTCCAAAGTAGTTTCAACCAAGGAAAACCCGAAGTAGATACGAGATATAGTGGATCAAAGAAGGTTGGTTCAAATAGATCAACTCTGAACAAATTCTCTTGTCTATGCATATCTATCTCCATTTTATTGGCTTTGTAGTGGATATATCCTATCACTAAATGTGCGGCCTGTGGTTCATGTTCGGTCAGGTATTGCCTAAAGGATCAGAGCAAGAGATTTCAGCTTCTCCGACTCCTAAAAAGGAGGTTGAAAGGTAATATCAGTTGCCTTCTTTCAACTCCAAATGTATGCAAGTTGCAACACATTAGTTTCTATGACTTCTTACCTATAAGATTTTGGTATCCTCATATGTCCTACGTATTTAAATTCAAAAAATGGATCATGAAAACTGAGCATTAGTCGTGCAATTCGAAAAAGTTGCCCAAGGATTTGTTATTACGTTTGGTTTTGAAAGCTTTGTATATTTAGAAGGAAATCTCACGGTACAATTGAGTAGGCCAATGCCTCTCTTATACAGATGATGTATAGAGTTTCAAGTCCTACGAACTCTCATGATATAAAACCAATACAAAGACAAAAATCATGTGCAACAACTTGGATTTTGACCACAGCAAGCTTGTCTCGAAGGTAAGAAAATCATCTTCCAGAGAGGCTCTTCCTGATAGTATCGGCGACTTGATCCAGCAAGCCAATATAGTGAACTTAGAGATCCTTGGCCACAACCTTTTCTAGAACAAAATGGAAGTCAAACTCAATGTGTTTTGTCGTAGCATTGAACACCGTTTAGCTGTGAGATAGGTTGCTGAAATGTTGTCACACAGAAGTCTGGGAACTTGAGGTAAGACAAAACCAATCTCCTGAAGTTGGCGTTGTCACCATGTAATTTCAGCAGTTACAGCAGCTAGAGCGACAATTTTCTGCTTCTTTGACCTCCAGGAAACTAAGTTATGACCGAGAAATGGTGCTCCCATGTTGAGAGAGCTGGCTGTCCAGCAATAATAGGAGTGGCAATAGGCTTGGCACCTTCTATGATTTCTTGAAGAAGTAGATCACGAATATACCAGGAAATAGTGAAGACTGCCAAGGTCTTAAAGCGCAAAATCTGTAGAAAGATGCACGACCAGATCGTGAATGAATTCGTGAGAGTTGCCTGTAACAATTAAATCGTCTAGATATACCAGAGCAAAGGTAACAGGGGCGCCATACTTATGTACAAACAGGGAGGAATCTGAGTTGGATGCACTGAAACCAATCTCCATAAAGGCAGTACTTAGCTGTTCAGCCCGTAGAGTCTGTTTAAGGTCATACAAAGCTTTGTGCAGCTTGCACACATGAGTGGAAAACTTTTGTTCAATGAAGCCAGTTGGTTGTGATATGAACACTTCTTCATTGAGATGGACATGTGGAAAGGCCGTATTGTCATCTAATTGTCAAAGAGACCAGCCTCTTGATAATGCAATAGTGAGGCTGTTTATTTAGTTTTATGTTTGACTATGGACAATTATTTGATTTGGGACTGTATGATGAACTGTATCTGCCACAGAAATCTTGATTTCCTTTTTCATTTATGTCAGTGCATACAGATGATAAGCATGGTTGATTTTATATAGTGTTCTTCCGCGTACCGATTTGTGTTTTTTCTCAAACATGCAAATAATTGTTTTGATTCAATGACAGATTAAGGAAGACATCAGATACGGTAATGACTCAAAAATGCCAATCAGGGACTAGATCAAACTCTCTGTCATCTCGGTAAGATCTCTGACATTCTTTTCTGAATAGTGCACTCTTTATATATGGTCTATTCATTTCTGCCTATTCGTTGAATTTGGAAGAATGCAGAGGCAAGAAGGAGGTGGGACTGTGCCTCTTTGTAAAAATAATAAACGTTTGGATACATGCTTTCGCCTAGTTATCGCCTGCCTCATTCTTGTCAAATTATTCCGATTCAACAGCATTTTTGGACTGAGAAGTTAATTTGACTTTGAAGCAGGGCACCTAAAGATGCTGTTATAGAGAGGAAAAAGGTGAACAGTGTCAGACCTGCTGGCATGAGTATTGATAGATCAATTGATAAATTGAAGGAGGTATTAATGAAATCCAAACTTGGTTTTGCATCCTACTTTTTCTTGCTTCTAGTTAGTTAACATAGTTTCTGTTCCAGTCAGTCATATTTTACCTTTTTATCCAAGTATATAAGCTTTCTATTCCAAATGTTTTTAACATAATATGCAAGAATACTTCTTTTACAGACAATATTCTTCATCCTTAGTGCAAGTTCTCTGAAACATAGACTTACCCTTTATGTTTAATTCATCTATTTGTTAAGTTCAACGTATCATATTAACTTTGCAGGATATCATCAAAGGTAAGATTCACCGTGCTGGATCTAATAGGTGAAGTTAAAACATTAACTTCAACATTAGCAGGATACCTTCGTAGATAAAATGTTTCTCCGGGTGAGTTAAACTTGCATGTAGAAGAAGAAACATTCGAAGAATTTACTGTGTGCTTAGGCAAAAGCAAGACGAATCATGTACTCGTATTTGTGGTGTATTTGCACTCTGCTGGACTCCTGAATTGAATGTTTTGTTCTCTTACATTGAGTAAGGTATAGCATTAGAATTAATTAGATCATAGTTTAAAGTACAAAAAAGTGTATGTGAAAAGTAAAGTATTGAGTTTAGGAATGCACATGACTTAAAACTTATTGTATAATGCAATCTTTTATTCAGTTCTTCCCTTATTCAGTTCTTTTTTGTATTTCCTTTTTCGTGTCATTAAAATATATTTCAAAAAGTATGTTTGTGAATTATGATATGATAAATGCATAATTAGACTTACGCAATCAAATTGGTTAAATACATCCGCTAAAGTAAAATTTTAAAAGAAAAGAACATTATTTTCGTGAAACACCATAAAAGGAAAAACGATTTCATATAAACTCACGAAAAATATAATAATCATGATTTATGAGATTCAATTTCTATTCTCATTCACAGGTGGGAGATTACTTAATTTACTTAACTATTGAAGTGTAATAGGCATTGGACATCTAACTTCTTGAAGTAAATGATGCACCAAAACTACTACCATAAACAAAGTAATCACAATTGTCTCCTTGTAGCTATCAATCAAATTTTTCTCTGTACAGACAGATTGTGTAACTTTATTGCATAAAGCTCTTGATTTGTTTTTTTAAAAACAAAAAAAAAAACACTTTTCTATGGTAGAGGTTCCAAATTTTCAAAGATCCAACATGTCAGCGGCACTGAGGTCAAGTTGTCCAAATTTTGATGATCGTCAAGACGACAGATAAACTCAATGCACACTCATACTCCAACAAACTTAGTTAAGGCAGAGGTATCAAGAGCGGTGAACTCTTTCACAGCATTAAGCACATCATGAGCAAGTTTTACAGCATCCTCCTTGCTTGGTGCCTAAAATGATCATATAGTCTAATATCAGATTATTGTAGTTGCAGAAAATTGCAAGAGCTTAAGAAACAATCAAAAGGAATAGTTCTAACCTCAATATTAAGGGGTAGAACAGGGTCATGTAGTGAGAGTCTTAGAAGGAACCATCCGCCATAACCAGAAACTCTAACCTGTCATCAAACAAAATTGATCTTTAGACTAATACTGCCAATATATGTGTGTGCAGTTGTCTAAGGATTAGTAAATGACAGTAAAAGGTCAGACCAACAGCAGGATACGTATGATGACTCAGCACATGCAATGACCACGACTAAACAAATGAAATATACTGGCCATAAACAGTTGCTGCTCACTAAGCTCCAAGTTGAAGGAACTATGATAAGAATTCAGTGATATCAACAAGAGTAACCTCATCTACTTCTGCTTGGACAAAAATCATTAAAAGCTTACCCCTTCATAGTTAACAGGTGCTTTCAGAAGCTTAGTGTCCAACTCAACTGTATTCTCAAGTTGCTTTAACACTGCTTCACCATAATCACGGAAGGATCTGGAGACACAAGCATGTTCCTCAATTTACAGAAATACAATAACCTCAGCCAAATTAAATTGTGAGGGACACCGTAGCATACCCTCCTTGAAGATCTGGATGATTCTGATCAATCTTTAGTCTAAGTTCAACAGCAACAGCTGGTTCTTCGAGACCCTCCACCATGTCAGTTAGGACTTTGCTGCCGCCGCCCAGTCCTGATGTTCTAGCTGATGCAAGCTTATTCAGTAACTTCACCTGCAAGTGACGGAAACCAACAAACGAGTTTTAGGATTTGTACTGAAGACAAAATCATAGAACCCAGAGATTAGTTTTGGCAGAAATGTACCATAAGGTATGCACCATCGTCAAGCCAGTGATTCTCCTTGAGAGCTCCATGGCCACTAGTTTCAATAGCCAAATGTGCTTCTTCACCAACAGAGTTCTGTCAATATGCTACTATTAAGTACAATCTGTCTCAGAGAAACTTAAAGCTTGGCAACAAAGATTTGAAGCAATACTAGAAAAGCAAAGAAATTCGAAATCGCCAGATTCATAAGCCATCTTTTAAGGCATACGTGTTTTTCAGAGTTTTGGAGCTTGAGGCAATAGTTTCTTCAAGCAGATGAGTTCAGCAAGTTTGAATGTACTATACTAGGCTAAGCTCATGGAGAAAAAGATAAATAGATATCAGAGGATTCCAGTTCGTCTAAACGCTCAATCCTGAAAGTTTGTGATTATATTGAAGAGTGTGCTCAATTTTAGAAATAATCCCACAAATTTGGGTTGCTAGCTTCTCCCCTGGATCAATAATTTTCAGATTCCTTTATCACCCCAGGTGAACGAAGTTAAAAAATTCCAATAGAAGGGAAAGTTCAGATGAAAGCATTCTCTAATAAAACTAGTCACATGTTTGTATAGTTAAAGAATTAATAAAAGCACTTAGCACAATGCATCCAACTCTTGGTGGAAACTAGTAAATCCATGAATTATAAACAGAACGTTAAAGTTTGAGATAAGTTGTTAAATACCGAATGGAGGTCAGGGATCAAAGATCTCCTTTTTCTTTACTAAAAGCAAAAGAGTTTGCAAAGAAACAAGTAGTCTCATACAACTTTCTGGAGTAATAAAGTGTTCAGAATATTAGGTAGGATGTTAAGTTACCTTTTCAAGAAAGAGAATTCTTTTATTTTTGGGGGGTTGGTGGAGATTATTCAACATCATCCGAAACGTGAAGGACATCAGATATGGATCAAGCTAAAATATACCTACAACTACTATATTTTGGAGAGGTGGTACTTCTTTCACTGGAGAAAGGTGAATAAAAGAATGCTATGACATGACGACCACAAGCACATGAAAAGAATCGGAACCATTTTATTTAAGACATCATGTTGTTATCTGAGACACTGGGCAATTGGAAAATCCAGGCAACCCAAAAAGACAAAGATAAGATCCATCTTATGATGGATGTGCTAATATGTTTACAAAGATGAAGGGACCATTGAAATGCTACCATCAGAACCATGAATAAAATAACCAAATCGTACCAGACGAATAGCCTCATCAATTACATTCTTGTATCCTCTTTTGAACCTGTGATGCTTCCCTCCTGCAATAATATTATTAAAATTAGCATCCATTCTCATAACAAGGGTATCACAGTTGACTTTGACTTCTCATCTGACCTAGTTTCTTTTCAATAAATGTTGTCAGCCCATCTGATGTTACACTGTCTGTGACAATAGTGGTCCCAGGATGCTAGTCAAACATTAACAAAAGTACTTAACAGTTAAGATGCTTGTTAGAGAAGAGTTCTAGAGACACTTGTCAAAAGGAGATACTCACTTCCTCCAAAATAATTGCGGACATTAAAGCAATCAAACGATTTCTGTTAAATTCACGACCACTTGAATCCACAGCCGCAGACCTGACCAGAACACATATCAGAAAAAGGAACCAACCAACGACTACTCCCATTGAAAGAAAAGATTTGTATACGGCACATCACCTGTCAACATCTGTATCAAAGATGATTCCCAAATCAGCCCTGTTATCAAGTACTGCCTTGGTAATAGCTTTCATGGCCGTCTTATCCTCTGGGTTAGGTATATGATTGGGAAACAAACCTAGCATGAGAATCAAATAATTAGCAAGAGTGACAGAGAAATCTGTATGTGAAAATTGCAGGTTATATCTTACCATCTGGCTCCAAGAACTGACTGCCAGAAGTAATAGCACCCAGAGGCTCAAGCACCTTCCCCTGAAAATCAAGCAAAATAAGAGTATGACCAAAGCATCTAAAAAGAACAACAATGGGAAAAAAGGTAAAAGTGATATACCCTGAGAAAATTTTAAGTTACAAATTAAGCTGATAAACAGATTTCAATATATCTTAAAGACCTTTTACATGGTCCTTGAGTCTCGTTTCCCCTAGAACAACCTCAATTGATAACAACTATTGATGCATTTTAGTCCCTTACACATTGACTAGAATTGAAAGACAATATATCAAATAAAAACATATCCTTTCTTGTGTAACCGTCTTAGTTTGACTTAACAGGCTAGCACGGATCTCAAGAGCTAACTTACAATGTATTTCAAAGAAAGTGGATCTAATGGAAGACATAAAGCTGATATTTTGATAAGTTTTAGAGTGTGATATGCAGTTTGCATTTAAGTTTTGCAGGTATTATTAAAAAAGGTATAGAGAGTAAGGAAAGATTTATAGTTCAGGAAAGTGGGATCACGTTGGCATGGCAGCAAAAGAGAGAATAGCAATTTCTTTTGGCAATTCAAAGTATTTAAAAAATTTCAATCATGTATTACTAGCTTTTTCTCAACTTCTTGTTTTTTCTGTTCATTCCCCAGTCCCCTTAACTGTAATTCCTCATCTTTCATAATTCCTAGAAGCTCCTAAGATCTACATATCTGACTGCAGAGACTGACAATGTTAACTGCATCAAAAAATAATTCCTAAAATATCTTTTCTTAATATTGTAGACCAAGATGAATATGACTGTACTAAGTTGTTTTGATTCAACTGTGTACTAGACATCTCAAAAGTCTAATCATCCATCTATACAACATGGAATTTCCTAGTGACATAACAAATACAAGTACAACAGATACAATTTTTTACTCTTAATTGAATTCTTCACTCCTTCAAAAGGTCCTACTGTTTCTTTCCCTTGATAGTTACCAGATGATACACAATGGAGTGCATATATTTTTTTAATCTTGGGGTCCAGTTTACACATCATCCAACCGCTCCTTTCCTCCGCAACTTTGGTAGGATGAAACATTGTTGTATGATTAACTAATCAAAAGGAGGTTGTCAGATCACTAAGTTGCTCTATATTCCTAGAGATATCAAAACCATTGAATCTGACAACGATAATGGTGAAAGACCTGATCGGTGATGTGAGATTGGACCATGGAGGTGGGTGGAGACAGATATATCCTGGTAAGGGTGTCGTGGAAATTGATAAAATAAAAAAGGTGTTGATAAGTATGTTAGGTTATGGAAATAGACCCAGCCCTATTAATAACACACACACACACATCTTTTTCTTCTTGGTTTTTCTTTTAAGTTATAGTTAGTGTTTTTCTTGGTTCAGAAGGTTTTCATGCAATGTATGGAAGGTGAAAACTGTCAAGGCACACTACAAGGCCAAAAACTTACCACAAAGAATCCGCCTGCTCCATTCCCTGCATCAACAACGATATGGAATCCTTCCAGTGGCTTTTCTGAGAATTGAACCACAAAAGAAGGAAAAGAGAAAAAAAAAGTGAATGAGCACTAACAAGAGCCTGAACAACACTGGGTCAGAGAAACAATTAAGGTAGATTCTCTGAAAACGGTCGGGATAATTCATTAGATTGGAAGTACACGAAACTCTTTAAACAGGGAGATTCGTAGTCGCAGGTCAATACCACCCTGGAAGTTTCCAGTTTGATTGGATTGCCATCACAAATTAAATTTATGATTTGCATCCATTTCCTCAAGACAATGATTATTTTCATTAATACAGAAACATGGTAAAAGTACCTATATTCCCTGCAGCTTTGCGGACTGCTGCTACAAGATTAGATGCATAAACAGACATGTAATCCACTCTTTTCACATCGAGAGAAGCAGCTGTTTCTGCCCCCTTAGAATCGTCATTTGCAATATTTTTGTATATATCAGCGGCTCGCTCCAAGATATCTTTGATGTCGGGCTTCCCAAGTCCACCCGCACTTGTAAAGAACTTGAACCCATTCCTGTTGTAGGGAAGATGGCTTGCTGTTGGCAAACAAAATTATCATATAAAATAATTATCCAACCAGCATTAAGCCAATTCTATTTATATTGAACTGTATGAACTCCAACAGTAAACCAAGCTGCCATACAAGAGAAGCAGCAAGCCTTCTCCACTTGCAAGTAACAGATGGTATAATCAATTTACACTTCCAAAGATAGAATTATTATTGAATTTACATCTCAATTCATACTAGATAACAAATTCATGCACTCACCTGTTATCATTATGGAACCATCCACTGGACAGGAAAATTCTTCATTTTCGGTAAGAGTGCTATTGAACATGGCTGGAGTGGATGCCAATCTACCATGGGGAATAAGAGGGAAGGGGGACAGAGAAAGGCTCATTAGGCATGCCATCACTTGAATGACATCAAATAAACAATTTAAACCAAAGAAAGATGATATCCACATATCTCTCTTCAATTTTGTAGATATTAGGAAAGAAAAGAAAGCTTCCTTGCATTGCAATGTCTTTACATTCCATAAGAAGGGGTACTTATACAATGGATACTACGACTAATTAAGAAAATACAGTCAACAACAATAATAAGAAAATATTATATTCCTATAATTAGGCTAGGCTCTACCCTTGCCAGACCCCACTTCGTGGGACTATACTGGGTATGTTGTTGTATAATTATGCTATGAAAAACAATTTCTCCTAAAATCATGCTAATTAATTAACACAATCGACACCACCATCCCCCCTCAAGTTGGAGCAAGGATGTGCCCAACTTACAAACCAAAGTATGGAAAGCTCTTTTGCTGCCTCTTGAAGCACATCAACTAGTAGTTTTTTCTGACATGACATAAAGCAAACTCAAGGTACCACTAGTAGCTTTCTCTTTGAAGAAGTCGATAAATTTCAATGTTTTGTTCAGTCAAGTTGAACAGAATTCTGAGCTATACTAGTCATAAAAAAAAAAAAATTATGAGCTATACTAATTCCAGCTTTGTTGCCGCAGTACAAGGAAAGTCTCCCTTTTTCAGACAATCTCAGTTCTTCCAGTAACTTTTGTAACTTTTGTAGCCAAAGAAGCTGACAAACACCTTGGCCATAGCTCTATATTTTGCTTCCACACTAGATCTGGCAATTATATGTTGCTTCTTGCTTTCTCCAAATAATTAGATTCCCTCCTACGAGTGTACAGTAATCAGACATACATCTTTTGTCAGCTATGCCCAATCTGTGTATGTAAAAGCTTCAATCTTGAGGTGACCATGTTTAGAGAAAAGCAAACTTTTCCCTGGTGTAGACTTTAGATACAGCGAAATGTGAAAGATAGCTAGCACATAAGGATCTCGGGGATCATGCATGAACTGACTCATCAAGCTGATTGAATAGGCTATGTCTAATCTAGTGAGAGATATAAATGAATCCTCCAACCAACCTCTGATATCTCTTCTTATCAACTGACTCTTTAACTTTACCTCCGGTTAGTAACTTGTGATTGCTTTTCAATAGGCGATTCTACTGGCTAGAAACCTGTCATACCAGTTTCTTTCAAGAGATCTGGAAGTAAGCGGGGGAGAAAACTCAACCTCATTTTGAGAAAAAGGAGCCCTAGTGCTGCGAGGCAGAAAAAACTCACCTCAAAAGGCAGCAATGGCTTTGATAACATATAGATTTGGAGAAAGAAGAGAAAGCTTCTTTGTATTTGAGTATGTCCTTAGATCTCATGTGAAGGGGTATTTATACCATGAAACCTATAACTAATTATGGAAAGACAATCAATTGAAATATAAAAAAACTCTATTCCTATCATTATGCTAAGGAAAAAGAATGTCTCCTAAAATAGTGCTAATTAATTTACAAAAACAAATCTTACAACAACATTTTCTAGACATCTTAATTGGAAGTGCACGAACTATAAGCAAACACAAATTTCTCGTTTTCCAAATCCAATGAGAAATGGTGGGGTGGGAATGAAGCAAGTTGTCTTTGTACAGATTTGAATCAAGCTATGTCTTTGATGGCATTATTCAGCATTGTGTTGTATATTAAGGACCAAATATCCATAAGATTCCTTTTAGAAAACTATAGGTAATCAACTTTAGAACCGATTAACTAGTACTCACTCATGCAGAAATTCCTAACCAACAACAGATTGATTGAAACCATTTGTCAAATCTCCAGATTCTTGCACAAATCTCTAGTGAATGGTCATTGGTCCTGACATATATGAAGTTTCTTATTTGATAAGGGAAGATATGAAGATTCATAATGAATTAATGATTTATCTTTGGGTGGGGGGAGGGGAGAATATTCAGACTTCTTAGATCTCTTTGAAATAATAATTTGCTTTTCAGTCTTCATATTAAAAAGGTCTACCCTGTAGGCCTTACAGCAACCAGCAGAACATAGAACCAGATATCAACTTAAAATGATTAAATTCCCTTCTTTATAGGTTATGGGTTAGATGAGCAAAGAATCTGTAGTCGGCAGTCTGCACATATTAGTTACAAATAGGACCTAAAGAAAAGCATCACCAACCCATATTGGATGACTTCAACTCCAGCTCTAGCAAGTCCTCGAGAAACTGCGTCCTGAAAGATAGCAATCCAGGCTTAATCAACTAGACAGCAATGTACCTCGTGAATGAAAGAATAAAGCACAAAAGTACAAGAGAATGGATGCCACTGAACTATGAAGTCCTTAATAGCTACAACACTCTACAACAGGAAATATTTTCATTTTGATTTTTTTTCATAATCTCTGGGTAAATTCTTCTGTTTTGACTTAACATATAGTGGTAAGCCTATGTTGGTTGGTATGTACAACCCAACTACAAACTGTGCATTGTACTAATAAAATCCATCATGCTGTCCACACCATTAACATTAACTCTAGTCATGTTAACCAGAAAAGAAGCAAACAAAGACATTTCTGCTTAAGGCTGAAATTGCTGATTAAGAAAGGGTATACAACTTAACTTTCTTATGTAGGGTTAATACCTGTAACTTCTGTGCTGAAATTCGTGAGTCATGACCGATGGAGACTCTTAAACATTTAGAAGAAACATTTTTCTTTTTTGCCAGCAACCAACCAGAAAAACCTGCTGCTATTGCTTCTGTAACTGTCTCTGTGAGAGTAAGAGGTTCCCCCTCAACTCCATCAACAGCTACTCCACGTATATCACTGGGTAAATACAGAGGAATAAATCATATTGGAACTTCTTATGAATAACTGTTTGTTAGCTACATGCCTACATCATAAATGGATGAGTATCCATGGTCTTGCATAGAAGGTCATCTTAGATGGATTCTATATTAAAGATGATACTCTTGATAATCATATTAAAGATGATACTTGATGAACGTGTTTTTTAAGTTCTCAAAAAACTGTGCCATGTTACGCTTCTGTTACAATTATCAAATGGAAAATATAGTTGAACTCCATATAGCATGCAAACCTTGAAGACTTACAGTTAAATGATAAAAACAAAGAAAAGGTAGATATTTATACAAAAGCTAATGTTAAGAGTCAGCCACAGGGAGCTAAAAATCAATAGGAATTCACATTTATCTTAAATACATGTCTAGATCACCATTCTTTCAAGGTTACAACTAAAAAGTTTTAAAGAAAAAACTTCAGTTAGCAAAAACTTTACCTGCATTGAGAATATGTAAATGATTAGCTAAGCATGATCTGATTCTCTACTAACCGTAACAGATGTATCAACACTGACAACACCAGGCTATTAAACATTAAATAAAAAAAAACAATATCAACTGGTTTTTGAATTTTCCTCTCTTTTTCCTCTACACTCACCAATTCACTTGCTTTTTTTAGAATAAGAGATTCACTGCGTCCGGATCATATAGTATCTTTTTTGCTAATCAAAACACCAAGCTATGGAGAAGCAAAAAAAAAAAGAGAAATACAATCTCTATTGTTGCATCATCCTCTCTTTTTCCACCACACTTGCCAATTCAATTGCTGTACAGAATGAAAATTACAAGCTGGCAAATCATCCATTATCTTTTTCACCAATCTATTGCAAAATAATTGAATATTACAATCATAAAAATTAACCAATTTTGAAACTTATCAAAAGAAGCCTGAAACATGACAAACTATCCACCTTAAAAAAGATAAATTGAATTAGCAAGAACCAAGTACCTTCCATTCTGAAGCTTAAGAAAGTTGCTTTTCTCAACAGTCGGGATTGCAGTGGACGACGAGGCAGCTGCACAAAGATCCATGTTTTTAGCATTATTTTGGGTATACAACATGGTTACTTAAGATGCAGTCAGAGAGATTACTCATGGTTATGACTTATCAAAAACTAGTTAATGATAACTAGAGAAAGGTAGACACTTGTTGTGGAAAAATCAAAAGACTACCAATTTAAGAAAAAAATTAAGCACTGAAAGGAGTGTCACTGAACAATTAGGTATGCTAAACATTTTTGGGAAGTTATGGCTTAATCTGAGATCAACCTGAACAGTAAGATTCTAGAACAGACCATTGCAATAAACAATTCCTCGCTTAAATTTTGATAAGGCGTCCAGTTGCATGGTGGAGTTGCCATTCCATGCCAACTTCCCTCCTACAGGGGGGAGCAAGTTGCGCCTACTAAGGGTACAATAGTACAGTCGGTATTTTGTGCTCAATTCCCTATCCTGCTGGCAGCACTTTGCTACCAGGTTATGTTGGACAACCTTCCCTGATAATGCTGCATAATTAAAGATTTCAAGCATTATTAAAGTAGCGATTAATAAGGTCTCAATGAATAGATCACAGTATCTCAAAAAAAAAAAATCTTGTTACATTTGCTGTGCATGGTCTATAAAATCTTGAGTCAGCTTCATTCTGAAGCCATCATGTTTTGTTACCTCTTTGTCTTACTCCAACTGCCCAAATATTTCAGACCTATTCCATTGTTACCTAGAGATGCTCATATCTATACCTATTGCTATAACCTAGTTAATCCAATAAAATAGCAACGAAAATGAGTTACCTGAGAAAATTTCTACCCAGGAATACTCTTTAGTCTGTCAAGCAGCAAGTACACAATAGTTCACCAACCAAAAGCAAAAGTAGGAGGTGGAAATGAAGGAAAAACTAAATACTTTCAAAAAGCAGTTAGCTGGAGTTTGGACATTTGAAGAGGAGATGTGCAGACGTCCCAGTGAGGGGGCTTGAGAGGTTGATTATGGTAGGTACGAAGGAGAGGTAGAGGTAGGTCGACAAAGTAATGGGGAGAGGTGATTAGATAGGACATGGCGCAACTTCAGATTACAGAGGACATGACCTTAGATATGAGGGTGTGGAGGATGCATACTAGGGTAGAAGATTAGTAGGTAGTGGAGTGTTGTCTTGCTTTTCGAAAGGTTTAGACTTGTTGGTGTTTGTCATTGTACTAGTCGTATTATTGTAGTTATTTATTTTGATATCGATCATCGTTTGTTTATTAGTGTCTCAATTATCTCACTATTTTGTTGTTCTTGTTCCTTTCTTGTAGGCTTTGCACTGATTCCCTTGTTAGTTGCTATGTTTTCTACACTGTTTTCTCTTTTTTTTTGTACTTGGATTTGCTCCAGGAGAGCTTAGGATCTTTTGGAAACAGTCTATCTACCTCCACGAGATAGTGGTAAGGTTTACGTACACTCTACCTTACCCAGACTCCACTTGTGGGATTTCACTGGATATGTTGTTGTTGAAATAATATCCTAAAGATGATATCAGACACGCAGAACCTAGGAAACCTTACATCGGGAGGGGAGCAGGGTGAGAGAAGGCTTTAGCCTGCACAAATCACGTAGGCTGACCCCAATGTGATTTCTACCATGGTGATGCCCGTTCCCCCCTATTATGCCAGATCAAGTACTATATTGCGTTTTCCCTTACATGCGTTCATCTATCATTTGAAGGAAAAAAGTAGATTTCCATTTAAAACGATAAATATTGGTTGACGTCCACTATTATGTATGAACATAAAGAATACTAAAAGACCCTTAATATTGTAAAATTTAAGTGTAGCCCTACCTCCCAGCCACAATGTAATCCATGGCCCTAACAAATTCGCATCTACTCTAATTTCTATGTAGGATGTGTTTGGTATAAAGGAAAATATTTTCCACCGAAAATGATTTCCTAGAAAAAGTTCTCTTAGAAAACAAGTGGGTTTCTTATTTATTTTCTAGTGTTTGGTAAGTAAGCAAGAAAAAATATTATCCCAAGAACATTTATATGTTATTTCGCAAAACTATAACACCCCAAGAATTCTAAGCTAAAATCTGAATTATCCGTATATGTATAGGTCAGAATCCTATGATTATAATTGTACATAGGTGTAAATATCAATTCCTAAGTGTGGTATGTGTATTTGATGTGAATCAGGGTCACAGGAAATCACTAGCACTAAATCGAGTTCAAAGTAACTCCCAACCGATTAAGTTTTTGCATAAGATCATGCAATGATCAACTTCAAACAAGCTTATAACTTAGCATACTAAGAGTTATAATGTGTCTCAATATCCACCAAATTAAAGATATTTGAGTTTTCTTTCCAACTCCACCAACAGTTGGTGTTCGTAAATCTGAGTTCATAGTAAAAAGTTATGATCTTTTACCACTAGGATAAAATTTTCAGTAGTATTGACTCGTGGTATCATCGCTACGACTCTTACTGTGATAGTACGACCCGTGGAAGAGCCCCAAATCATCCTAGGCAACCATGACCATCACTGAGCGATACATTTACTAAATTAGACTAACTCTCTGTGTGTTATTTATCAAAAATCGACAATTTCCATGTAGACAGAAAAACAATTGATCAACTTCAATCAAAAGGTCATCTTCAATAGAAAACAATCCAGCAATTAGAAGAACGAGTGAGTAGTTAATTATTACCTGCCATTTTGGGGACACTCAGATGCAGGATCTCGATTACGATACTGAGGAATAGAAGGAGAGTGAGGAAGATGGGCGGAGAAAGAGGAGTATATCTATATATTAAAAATTGAGAAGGAAAAAACAAATGAGGCACTGAGTTGGTGGCGTCCAGGACAAACTGCACACCAGAAAAATGAGTAGGTATTACTTCCCCGTTCCTTTTTAGTTAGGAGGAAATTTGGTACATAATAGCTATATTAATGAATAACAAAAAAGGTGAAGAATATTTTTTTATGAAAATAAAAAATTATAGGAAAATACGAGGAACAAAGAAACATTTGCATAAGATACAAATTGCATTCATCACGTACATGATCGCATTGTTTTTCTCTTTTTTATTTTCATCCATCATTAATAGATAATAATAATAAAAGCGTAAAAGTAGCTTTAAAAAATCAAAAGGAGAAGTCTTTTAAATTATTGTGCTAAAATCAAATGTACCTATGATTTTTAAGTTATTTAATTGAGTTCTTTTTAAAAAATATTCTTTTTATTTTTATAGTTGTTCACTTTATTTCTTCAACAAAAACAAAAAAGGCATCAAGTTGATGTAGGGATACTAATATTTGAAAATATGAGCCATCCATTTCTCCACACATTTTAGACCATCATATATTGTAAGGCAAACCTAAACAAAAGCTTGTCCGTTCCCCCAAAAAAAATCTAAAACAAAATTCTTTTCTTTTCTACTGATCGTGAAAAGAAATAATTATTCAAAAATATGAGTAATCCATGGGGTAGCATTGAGAATTCAAAAACGCTCGGCGATCAGCCGAAGCTATCAAAAAGAGTTAGTGATAAATTTGAAAGAGGAATGGAGAAAACGAAGGTAGCTGCCTCTGCGGGAATGAAGAAGGTTAAGGAAGGAACCACCGTAAGTGTCAATTGGATGAAGGTCAAGTATAACAAGCACAAGCTCACCAACGCCAAAAAATAATGATAAATTTATATGTATCGCATAAATTAAACTAGCTCAAATATTAGTGCTATAACAAAAACACAATGAAAAATGCTGATGTTCTTTTTTATGATTATATTTATTATTATATATATGGAGTTCTATATATGAAAATACTTCAAATGATAATCATAATATTTGCTTAATACATGTTTGGATTTTATTCGTTTAATTATTGTTTTTTGTGTGTGTTTCTAGTGTATATATATATATATATGCACACGCGAGAGGTAAGTATTCAGAATAGTATTCGAGTCTCTAGACCTATTTGAATCGCATCTATCTGCTTCCAATTTGTCACATGTGTCTATCTTAATGCTCGTCACATTTTCACAAATATAGTACGATAATAAAAAAATTGGTTCGATAATATCAATTTTTAAAAATATTATATAATTTCATACCAAACTAATTTGACATGGTTCGATCTTTTTAAGTTCAATTTTGATATTTTAGGTATAATGAATCGGTAATTATAATTTTTTCTAATTCGATTTACAATACTCCTATAATAAAGAAGTTACTTTAATTTCTCAAAAAACGTCTCAACTATATCAAATTAGACTTTACGCATATAAAAATATTCAAAAGATAGTATAAACACTTTCCTTCGCTAATCATCTATACAAAAAGAATAATTCAATCAAAATAAGGGAATCAAAGTTCCAAAGTCTTGACAACATTAGTCAATTCTATTAGATACAAAACGGCCTTAAATAAAATGTGATGCTTACCTTTATACTAATTGTTTATATATTTATTAGTAATTATGTAGATACAAATTATATTTTGGAATGACATTTGATATTTCATCTTTTTTTTATATATAAATATTGTACTAAACCATTTTTTTTAAAATACAAAATATGATACAGAAATCATAATATCAAAATTTTTGAAAATATATACCAAATACTATGTACCAAAAGTGTGTACACCCTGCTTCTCCAATTATAGTTTTCTTTTTATAGCTATACAAATCACTATAATGGAACATTTGAGGTAAAGGAGGGAATCGACTACTAAAGTTAATTCCACATTCCAGCCAACTTGTTATTCGCCCCCGCCCCCATGTGATGTTCTCTGTCATTTCATCTTGACCAAAATAACAAATTAACCTACTACTCAACACGTTTATTATATATAAAATAATAATATTTTAATCACCAAAAAAATGTAATTGGATGAGGCTATTTTTTCTTTTCGAATTCAAATTCTATTCTTTCCGAATGGAATCCTACTGCTATCTATTTACTTGATATACTTTATAGTTTGTCCAGGTAACTGAATAACCTACTACTCAACACGTTTATTTGTCATTGTCATTATGAGTGTAATGATTTGTTGATCTAGAAATTTATAACAAATACTCATCCTGTTAAAATTAGCTGTCCGCTCTCAGATTGGGGAATGACCCATATAGTCTATAAATCTCAAATACCATTAATAACAAACAGTAGCCACAAACAACAGAAACTTGGAATGAGGATTCATCAATTCATCGCCATTGCTTTTGTTCTTACATTATCTCCAACTACTTCAGCTCATTTCTTTCCAAATATTTCTTCAATCCCTTCTTCTTTACTCAAACCCAATGCCACTGCTTGGACTTCTTTTCAAAAGTTATTAGGATGTCAACCCGGTCAGAAAGTCGATGGCATTGCTAAAATCAAAAAATATTTTCAACATTTTGGATACATTGATACTTTCACTACGTCTAATTTCACTGATGAATTTGATGATACTCTTGAATCTGCTCTAAAGACCTACCAGCGAAATTTCAACCTCAACGCCACCGGTGTGCTTGATGCGCCAACCATTCAGCATCTCATAAAACCCAGATGTGGAAATGCCGATGTAGTTAACGGTACTAGTACTATGAACGCTGGCAAGCCGCACACTGTGGCTCACTACTCCTTCTTTCCTGGAAGACCAAAGTGGCCGGAGAGTAAGACAGATTTGACTTATGCGTTTCTACCGGCAAACAATTTGACGGTTGATATTAAGAGTGTGTTCTCACGTGCGTTTGATAGGTGGTCGGAGGTAACCCCGTTGAGCTTCACTGAAATAGCGTCATTTCAATCTGCTGATATTAAGATCGGATTTTTTACCGGAGATCACAATGATGGAGAGCCGTTTGATGGTCCGATGGGGACATTAGCGCACGCGTTTTCACCGCCGGCGGGGAATTTTCACTTGGACGGCGAGGAAAATTGGGTCGTCGATGGTGTGCCGGTAAATGATGGAAACTTTTTTTCTATATTGTCGGCGGTGGATCTCGAATCGGTTGCGGTTCATGAAATCGGGCATTTATTGGGTTTGGGTCATTCATCGGTAGAAGATTCAATTATGTACCCGAGTTTAGAAGCGGGTATTCGAAGAGTGGAGCTCGTGGATGATGATGTTAAGGGGGTTCAGGAATTATACGGGTCAAACCCGAATTATACTGGGACCAATACAACATTGACTCCGAGCGGCCAGGATAATGATACAAATGGTGCCCCGATTCGTAGCTCATTATGTGGGTTTTTATTGGTTGTTGGATTTTTCTTCGCATTCAATTCAATTTAAAAACACTGTTCGATTAATTGTACTATTATGACCTTTTGTTCCCTTTATATAAAAAAAATTGTATCAATTGTATATGTTAATATTGTATTGATTGTGGTTGCAAATTGATAGTTGTATAGATATTTATTTCCTAGTAAAAGAAAAAAAAATCCCCAAATAAGCTCAAAACTGCCATGTGGCACAATAGGGATCAATTTGGACCCAAAATGCCATTTCTGTCGAGAACAAAAAGAAGACATCTTCTTTCTTAGTCCAAAAGCTGGAACCTTGAAGGAAAATATGTCCCTCATAGTCATGACCAATTTCAGGATCAAGATAGACTCTCTTCTCTCATGAATGTCACCAACTGGAGATCCATAAAACAGAACAATTCAATTATTAGATACTATCATCCCCTTTGACTAGATAGAAAATAAAAATAAATGAATACACTGTAAAAACAAGTTATGTCATAGCAAGTGCCACTGAGTAGTATCTCATGATCACTGAAGGTGAAGGAAATATCCAAATCAAATGGAACCCTTCAACTCAACTCAAGGCAGAAGAATACTACCTTCACAAGTGAAGGGACGTTAAACCTCTAAAGTTGAATAATACCTTCACAAGCACAATATCTATGATTACAGAAGGTCGTTTTCCCTACACTAATGTAATTTATAAATACAGGTTCTGAAAATCTCAGTACCACATCACGTATTTTTTTATTTATTTAGAGAGTAGAATAGGATATGTAGCTATAGAAGGAGATTTAGATGCTCCTGATACAGAAATATGGCAGCCATCAGAGAAGGAAAGTAGTTGAACCTCCACATTTGACTTTTCTTCTTTTTTCCCTCAACCAGTCCCCACATTTGACAACATGAGCAATTTTTTTGCCTTTTTTTCTTCTATTTTAGGTTAAGGAGGAAATTCACTATTATGTCAATCCTACAAACTGCTTAGACGTCGTTTGAGAGGCTGTTACAATTATACACATTTATTAATTAGGACTCATTTTTTAATGTCTATAAATATTTCTTAGGTACAAATAACATACCAGAAACATACAATTAAATTTGCTCTAAAAATTAATATCTCAAATAGATAATAAATTAAATCTCATATTAACATTTTATTTTAATATATTTGATTTCCCCCAATTAACTTCAAATAATATTCCGACATGTTATCCAATAAGGACAAATAATATATATATAATAGTAATAATATAAAAGCATACCTGTGTAGCAGCCAGTAGCCATCAAAGAATTATTCCAATTACTTTTGAAAAACTTCCAAGAAACCACGACGTGTTGACGATTGATTTTTTGTAGTCAAATATATTACGCAGAACTTTTCTTCTTTTCGAATCGTTCAAATCCATATATAATATAACCTATACATAAAGAGAGAAGTTGTAAGTAAGTAAGCAAATTAACACAATTTGGCAAGCAAGTTTCTGATGAGGATTCCTTTGTTCATCGCCATACTTTTTGTTCTTAGCGTTCCATTTCCATCTTCAGCTCATTTCTTCCCAAATATTTCTTCAATTCCTCCTAATTTATTGAAACCAAATGCCACTGCCTGGGATGCTTTTAACAAGTTATTAGGATGCCATTCCGGTCAGACGGTCGACGGCTTAGCTAAAATTAAAAAATATTTTCACTATTTTGGATACATTAATAATTCTTCCAGTAACTTCACAGATGATTTTGATGATACTCTTGAATCCGCTCTCAAGACGTACCAGCTTAACTTCAACCTCAACACCACCGGTGTGCTCGACGCGCCGACGATTCAGCATCTCATAAAACCAAGATGTGGAAACGCCGATGTAGTTAACGGTACTAGTACTATGAACTCCGGTAAGCCGCCGGCAGGTTCTCCGACGATGCACACCGTAGCTCACTACTCCTTCTTTCCGGGAAGACCACGGTGGCCGGCGAATAAGAGAGATCTGACATATGCTTTTGTACCACAGAACGGACTGACGGATGATATTAAGATTGTGTTCACACGCGCGTTTGATAGGTGGTCGGAGGTTACTCCATTGACGTTTACTGAAATAGCATCCTACCAATCGGCTGATATTAAGATCGGGTTTTTCAGCGGAGATCACAACGATGGAGAGCCGTTTGATGGTCCGATGGGTACATTAGCACATGCGTTTTCGCCGCCGGCGGGGCATTTTCACTTGGACGGCGAGGAGAATTGGGTGATCGATGGTGCGCCGATTGTTGATGGAAATTTCTTTTCTATATTGTCGGCGGTGGACCTTGAATCGGTTGCGGTTCATGAAATTGGGCATTTATTGGGTTTGGGTCATTCATCGGTAGAAGATGCTATTATGTACCCGACTTTAGGAGCGGGTACCCGAAGAGTGGAGCTTAGAAATGATGATATATTGGGAGTCCAGGAGTTATACGGGTCTAACCCGAATTATACTGGGCCAAACCCAAATTTGACTCCGAGCCGAGGGAGTGACACAAATGGAGCCCCGAAATTTGGTTTATCATGGGTTCATGGGTTTCTTTTGGTCGTTGGATTATTCTTTGCGGCGTTTATTGAAATTTAGTTGGCGGCATGATGTGATTATTTTTGAATATTATACTTGATTTATCTTTTCATTTTAGATGGTGTAATTTCATTATGGTTGTAAAATTTTATTTTCTTTGTATAGATATTTATACTATTGTTTTACTGAAATGTTCAATTAGTTTTAAAAGTTCAAAATATTTTTAAAAAAAATGAATTTCAAATGGAACTTGAAAAAACAAGTTTCACAATGAAATTTCCTCCATAACACATGTTGTGATATTACCTTGACCCTTTCCAAAATGAAAACCGTGGAATTTGTCCACTTAGCTAAGGGACCTAGGATCATTGCTTAAGTACTCTTTTATCGTTAATCAAGAGGTCTCGAGTTTGAATCCTTTTATGTACGAAGTCGTCTTTGTTAGGGAGCATTTTACTAGGGACTTTTCGGCGCGAATTGAAATTTAGTCAGACTCCAATTTAGATATCAGACACCGAATGAGAAACAAAAATATTTGATGCATGAAGCTACTTTGGTAGGTTAAAAACATAAACGCTAGAAGGAGGGCTTGAACCTCCGACCTTGTGGTTAACAGCCACACGCTCTAACCAACTGAGCTATTCCAGCTTGTTATAATGCAAAGTTCACAATACCGTACAAATATCTTGTTTTATCATCTAATACGCCTAGTCAGGCACACACTGTTTTCTTATTGGCTAGTGCATACACTTCAATTCTTTCATAGTTTTTTTTTTTTTATCACTTCTAATTGTATCTTAAATATTCAAAATCTTTCTTTCCTCCTTAATTTCTGTTGTAAGTTTTCTCTTAATTTTTCTCCATTGTAAATCAAATTTATTTGCATAACATTGATGTTCTACATTGAGGTGTCAAGATAAGAGTGTAGGGTCATTATATATTTATATTACACCACAACTTGGAGTCTAGTTGTTATTATTTTCTGCCCAAAACTACATATTCCAAAGAGATCGTACAATTAGTTGGTGAATTTTGCTGCACGGATATCATGAATGTATCTTTTTGGATGATATATAATACAAAACTCGAATTCGAGAAATCTGATTAAGGGCCGAATAATCCGACCCACTTCACCTCTTGGTGGTCATTCGTTTCATTTCATTTTTACCTTTGAAGATTTTATATGATAATAAACAAGAACAAAACAGTTATATAGAGTTTAAAATTCTCTAGTACATTTTGTTTATCGTTTTGAATTTATAATGTAGATTATCTTATATCAGCCAAAGAAAGAATGGGGTATTATTTTTTGGGTGATCAAGATTTAATAATCGAAACTTATTTCCATGCAAAGTAGAGTCTATACTAAAAAAAATATCCCAAATTATTTGAAATATGTTATAAAATGAGAGCAAACAAGTAATAATATATGAAAGAAAAGGATAGCCACAAATAATAATTCAGGGAGGATGAGAATTAGTATTGCCTCAAGATGTTGGTGTTGCAATCCCAACTTGACTGAGAAGTGCTTCGAATCTCCTTTCATAATTTTTATCCAAATTTTGGATTCATTGTACATGTGTTTTATATCCTAACATAAGTCATCAGTACACCTTTTGGTCTCTTGGCATCTCCATAAGACCTTTTCGGACTTTGTTTTAGGTCTTCTATAGATCAATAAATACCATCTATAAGTCTTTCTTGCTAAGAAGTAATTAATCTGTCAACGTCTTATCTACCACACTTTGAAAGGTAATCAAATAGTCCTCCTTTTTCGGAAAGCTCGAACCAACTATCCACTCAAAAGTTTTAGCAAAATTCAAAAGCGATGCTTCTCCTCCATTTCTAAATATGGAAATAATTTGACTTGGATTTTTCACTTTACAACAAAGTTTTATAGACATACAAATATTATGACATTTAAAATTTCAAATTCCAAAAAAATTATTACTACACGAATACTATAACATATTTAAGATCACAAAAATGAATCTTATGATAAGCTACAAATATAATATACATATAAACAATATATACATTGATAGTGTATTATATGTTGCGTATACTTTTGTTATATTGATAAATTAGTTTGTCAAGGATATATTTATGTAACTTCCCTTTAATTTTCAATAGTTGAGAAGCAATTTTAACTCTATTCTCATCCGTATATAACCCATAAACATTGATTGATCTCAACGTTTAGAAGTGCAAAATGTAGGGACTAATTGGCAAACCTTAAAGAAGCATCTAGGTTTATCTTAAGTAATAAACAAAATTATCCTCAATAGACCCTAAAAAGTGGTTCAAGATTCATTCACAATACAATGGTTTTGGATGATGCCACCCATTCCAAGCCTGACTCCACCTTTCATGTTCAATAGTCCCTTCTTGGTCCCATATGTACCCCTTTTGTCACTCTCTCATTTGTTAACTTTTCACCGACATGGGTTGTGATGCAGTGGTGAGATTGCCTCATCCTTAATCAAAGATTTTGAGTTCTAGTCAATGGATATGGAAAAAATTCTGTTGGGAGAGTTGACCCCATAATGGGTTATGTGATACAGATAAGTCAAGGCTTCAATGCAGATACCAAACACTGCATAAAAAAAAAAACTTTTCCATTCTCTTTTTATATTAGTATGAGTGCCATTTAGGTAAAATACCCTTTCCCAACTTTATTATTTATAAACAAGGAGGAATAGCAAAGTGAGATTCATTCATTCCATCCTTTATTTGAACTGTTTTAAAACTTCTTCCTCTTCCCTACAAAGGAAAAAAAATGGGATTTCTTCCATGTTCTTTGCCTTGTCAATCAAAGAAAAAACCATTAGATTCTTCTGATCAAACTCAGTCTAGACATCTTTCCTCAAATTCTTCATCATCATTAATATCATTATCCTCAAGATCGTTATCATTATCATTATCATCTAGGTCATTTTCTTCACAGCCAAGTTTGCCATCAATTCCTTCTCTTTCTATATCTTCCTCTCAAGTTGAACATCTCTCAAACACCTTCCACCACTGCTTAGCCACACTAACAGGCCATTCTTCCTACATATTTTGCCTATCTATCGCGGAAAAACACCTCTATTGTGGCTCTTCCAATGGAGAAATCCTTGTATGGGACATAAACCCTTCAAGACAGGACAATTGTTTTAAAGGAAAGACAGTATGCCAAAGTGGAACTGCAATCAAATCTATTGTCATAATGGGAGATAAGCTCTTCAGTGCCCACCAAGATCATCGAATCCGAGTATGGAAAATCGACAATGAGACACCTAATAGAAATTACAAGTGCATTGCCACCTTACCAACGATCAATGATCGTTGTATGAAGCTATTTTGGACAAGGAACTACGTACAAGTTCGAAGACACAAGAAATGCACATGGGTACTATTGAATTTTGTATTTAAAATCATTAATCGTGATCAAACATTTTTATCTATATTGAGTTGTGACCATATGTACATCATATCATGTTTTAGTAAACTTAATTATATTATGTCTGAACAGGTACATCACGTAGACACGGTGTCAGCACTAGCCTTATCGAAAGATGGCTCTCTGCTTTACTCTGCTTCATGGGACAGAACATTTAAGATTTGGAGAAGTTCAGATTTTAAATGCCTAGAATCAGTATGGAATGCACATGATGACGCGATCAACTCAATAGTTGTATCGAATAATGGACATGTTTACACTGGTTCAGCAGATAAGAAGATCAAAATATGGACTAAACAACAAGAAGGGTCCAATAAACATACTCTTATGACTACGCTAGAGAAGCATAAATCAGCAGTGAATGCTTTGGCTCTTAGTACAGATGGTTGTGTTTTATACTCTGGTGCTTGTGATAGGTCTATAATTGTGTGGGAGAAATTACAAGTGTTAGGGGCATTAAGAGGACATAAAAAATCAATTTTGTGTTTGGCTGTGGTGTCAAATGATTTGTTATGTAGTGGATCAGCTGATAAAACAGTGAGAATATGGAAAAGAGGATTTGGAAAAAGTTGTTATTCATGTTTGGCTGTGTTTGAAGGGCATAATGGTCCAGTTAAGTGTTTGACTGCAACTTTAGATAGTCAAAAGTATGATGATGATGATTCTTGTTCTGGAAATTCTTACATGATTTATAGTGGTAGCTTGGATTGTGATGTTAAGGTTTGGAAACTTTGGGTTCCTAATTACCTCTCTTGAATTCATCTCTTTCATATGTACTAATGTATACCTTTATCAATAGGAAGACATTGTAAATACAAAAAGAGGACTATTCACTTAATTTTCTGTCTTTTTTAAGTTGGAAGTCCCACCATGGCTAAATGACAAAGACGTCTTCGTACTCACGGGACTCAGAAGATATTCTTTAACAAAGGTAACTTTATATCCAAGGGATTCAAAAGATATTGTTCACTTAATTTTATGTCTTTTTTAAGCTGGAAGTCCCAAAGTCGTACGTTCCACAATGGAGGTAAACATCTCTCTAGCAAAGACGACTTCGTATCCAGGAGACTTGGAAGATATTGTTCTGTCTTTTTTAAGTTGAAAGTCCCACATCGGGAGTAATGTGTTCTCTAACAAAGGTGACTCCGTATCTAGGAGATTTGAACTTGAGACTTCTAATTAAAGATGAAAAAGTACTTGTTACTCCACCACAACCCTGGTTGGTAAAAGTTTTGTTCTATGTTCAATATTAAGTTAAAGTCATTTGAATTGAGTTATCATTTATACTAATATTGTATATAATTACATCAAGTTGAATTCAAGTATCAGTTTAAACTAGTAATGTTTATATTTTTCAAACTAATTTATTATAAATTTAAATTTCTAATGATGTAGCACTATACCGAACTAAATATAAAAAAGACTACTCAATTTAGCTCGGGCTCGATATTGGAAAAAGCTCGATTGATCACGACTTAATTGGATTCGGCTCGCTCGGTTCGATGCCCAAACCTAGATGCAACATTTAACTATTGAGATTCATTTGGAAAAAACAAAAGAAGAAAAAAAACACCATACTAAAGAATAAAAGAAGGGGTTTCCCCCATCGTCCGTTTCCTCTTGGCTTCAAGTGATTCAAATACAAATTATAGATACTACATAACACTT